CCAAACCTTGCAAAAAGCTCGTCGTCGACATGATTCACGAGGCGAAGATCCAGGCCGTTGTCACCTACTATGGGTCGAAGCTTGGACAGAGGGTCAAAAAGGCCGACGCCAGAACCATGGACTTGACCCAGGAGCAGTACATTGAGGTACATGAGAACATCCAGATTGATTCGTTTTGAGAATAAGTAGGTTTAATTCGATCATCTTATTTGTCAATTACCGGATGACATGCAGATGATTCCCTGGTGGTGCGAATCGTATCCCGAGGCGTGGGAGAAGATCGTGGACAACTGGTTTATGGAGGGGTATGCCTCGACGCACAACGCTGCAAGGGAACGGCGTTTGGAGATGCAAGGACCAGCACACCATCAAGGCAGCCGCAACCTCGCCGGATACAGAGACGCATGGGTACACGAATTCATTTATCTATTCTGATGCTCAATTATGACTGATTTCTAATCTTCTTGATGTCTTTCTTGTAGAGGGCGGCACATCAAGGGCAGGAGTGCTCGGACTTCCAGGCATGGTGCATGTCCCACAAGGGAAAGGCGACGTCCGACGTCTCCTTCAGCCTAGAGGACAGGCCCCAGGAGTACACGAACCCGAGCGTCCACACCTGCATCAGTGAGTACACATCGGCGGCAAGGTCAGTCCATGGGCCAGACTTCGACCCGTGCACGCAGGAGATTGATACAGAGCTCGTCATGAGGTTGGGAGGAGGGAAGAAGCACGACCGCATGTGGATTGCCGATGGCACAATCGACTCGACCGCTATCCCTGACCTCTCCACGATCCGAGCCCGGAGCACGAGCGAGAGCCCGGCCATACACACACGGCCGACCGTTGCACAACAGCGGGTCGATGTCCTCGAGGTAATTTTAGTTTGACTCGTAGTATATTGACTTTTACACACCGTAATTAGCTATGCATTACTGAAACATTGGAGTGAAATGTTGTAGGCCCGGCTCGAAGAAGAAGCTCGGCAGCGTTAAGAGCTGTAGGCGCAGCTGATGTCCCAGCATCAGACCTATGAGAGTAGGTTGACGGGCATCACGGAGACCTATGAGACTCGGTTGTCGAGCATCACGGGCTTTCTTCAAAGCCTTGGGCAACATACGGGTCTTGCTGTGCCACCTGAGCTGCTCGCTCCACCACCGCCACCTGCAGCCTCACCCTAGGATGGACCTACACCTGCGAGTATGAAAGTTAATTGCAGTCTCTTACATGCAAGTAATTTCTAATTAGCTAGCCAAGTACATGTCTAACACATAGAATATATACTCCTTTGTGCAGCCTCAGTAGGCGGGTTCCAATAATCCGCCTAATCCTCAGGATCCGTATCAGTCACCGCCCAATCAAAGGCGTATTTGGTAATGAGTTTGAACTTGTCCATGTTCATGGAATTGTGGTAATAAACTGGATGTTAGATGATGAACAACTTTTGAACTTGTGAATTTCGATGTGATATATTCATACACTTATGTTTGTGACTTCTAAATGGTGTTTGTGATATGTAAGTGATGAATGTGTGATGAATGTCATGGATTTGAAGAATATGATGAATATTCTTGAAATTTTCTGTTTGAATGTGTGATGGAAGTGTTGGAATGTAAAAACAAGAAAAAAAATAGGCAATTATAGACGCTTTGTCGAGTGTCACACTCGGCAAAGGCCTCTTTGCCAAGTGCAATGGGCACCGCACTCGGCAAAGCTGGCAAAAACTGGAGGAAAACACCAGATTTCCCAGCTTTGCCGAGTGTAATTGCAAGGACACTCGGCAAAGCTGGGCTCTTTGTCGAGTGTCGCCACCACGACACTCGGCAAGGGGGCTTTTGCCGAGTGTCACCGCATGAGACACTCGGCAAAGAGACTTTTTTTAAAAAAAATAAAAAAATTTTTTGCCAAGAGCCGACACTCGGCAAACAATTTCGGAAAAAAATTATATAAATTCTTTGCTGAGTGTCGTCCTTGAGACACTCGGCAAAGCAACTGTCATGATAGCGCACCGTTAATGGCTACTTTTCTTTGCCGAGTGTCCGGTCGACACTCGGCAAAGTCTTTGCCGAGTGCCCGACAAATGACACTCGGCAAAGAAGGCTTTGCCGGCTTTTTTTTTCTCCGAGTGGCCTATGCCGAGTGCAGCGCTCGGCAAAGCCTTTACCGAGTGTTTTTAGGCCTTTGCCGAGTGCCGTAGGCACTCGGCAAAGTCCCTGTTTCCAGTAGTGACTCGGGGAAGAGAGGCTTTCCCGAGTGCCGCAGAGATCCTAGCACTCGGTAAAGAGCAACACTCGGCAAATGCCCTCTTCCCCGAGTGCAACACTCGGGAAAGATCGGCACTCGGCAAAGAAACATGTTATTTGACGGTCCACCCCGCCCACGCCGTTAAAACTTTAAAAAAAAATTCTTCCCCGAGTGCCTTCCCTGGCACTGCCTTCCCGAGTGCCCTGTCCTGGCACTCGGGAAAGGGCCTCTTCCCCAAGTGCCAGGGAATGCACTCGGGAAAGAATTTTTTTTTTTTTTGTTTTTTCTGTCTTATTTTTTTGTGAGGCCTTCCCACATTATTTAAAACTCCCTGTTCAAATTTGGGACAATTTTGACTTTTTTTTGTTATATTTCGTTAGTTTTTTTTCGTTTCGTTGAATTTTTTTGCATACTTCGAATTTGAACTATAGGTGCATGAAATAATGGAATTTGGTGATTCAAAAAATTATATTAATGATATTTGGTGTATGTTGAGGCCTTATCCAGGAACTCGCATGAAATTTCGAGCATCTTGTTGATGTAACATGACGAACAACTTGCGGGAAAAGTGTTTTTAAATTATATAAAATCCGAACGAAGTCCAAAAATCATGAAATTTGTCTGGGCGTCGTGTTATCGCATGTAGAGGCTATGATAAAAAATCGAGAAGGTTTCGAGCAAGTTGTGACGTCGGATGCCTAAAACCCAAACATCTGCGCATGCCTCTACAAGTGATCACATGCACTCGGGGAAGACTTAAAAAAAGGCCCAGCAGGCCTTATCTAAACCTAACCGTCCACTCACCCGGCCACCCCACACCCGCATGCCATGCCGCCTTTGCCAGTCTGGCGCTACCCCCCGCATTGTCAGTAGTTTAGCCCCCTGGCCAGGCTGCCAGAGCCCTCAAGCCCAGCGTGTGCGTGCAGCCTGAGAGCCCGTGGTGCGCCCTGCAGACCCGAGACAATGACGCTGCCCCTCGGGCGCGCCCTGTCCCTGCACAGCGGGGGCCCGTCCGGCCGGCGCGTCCCCTCCCCGGCCCCTGCGGCCGGCCCCGAGGCAAGCCGCCTGGCGCTCCCAGCCCCGGCCCCGGCCCCGTCTAGCCTTTCCGTCCGTGCCTTTCCTTCTGCCCCGTCCAGCCTTTTCTTCTGCTGCTGGTCAAGGAGCAGAGAAGGAGGAGGTAGGTGGAGGAAGGAGGAGGAAGGAGGAAGAAGAAGGAGGAGGAAGGGGAAGAGGAGGAAGAAGGAGAAGAAGAAGGGGAAGGGGAGGAGGAGGAAGAAGAAGAAGGAGGAGGCCGACGAGGAGAGGAGTAGGAGGCCGAGGAGGAGAAGGGGAGGAGGTGCCTCCGTCGCCACGTCCCGTCCCATTGTCGGCGTCTTCTTCTCCGCGTGCACGTCCCGCCAACGCCCAAGGTATACGAACCGTCCCGTTCTAGTTGTCGGCCATCGCGTCGTTTATGTGTTGATGACCTTCATGCCGGAATTGTGGATGTGTGGGCCATCATGCCCCAAATGTGGATGTCGGCCATCGTGCTGATGGTTTTTCTTGCAGGTTATCGAAACCTCCCCGTCCAGGGGAGGTTCTGCCGAAATTTTGTACTTATAGTGCTGTTTTTCTTCTTTTGCAGAGCAGGACCTGTCGCAGGGGAATCGGAGCACCTAGGCGACCCCGATCGTCTTCGTCGGCGCTGCAGTCCTGCCTGCACAGCGCCGACTCGCCACTGCACCGACTCGCCACTGCGTCGCTAGCCTTTCTCCACCGCCACCCTAGGTATAATTAAGCTCTTTTCCTTACCGTTGTCGTACGTAGATCGGTATAGCCCAGTTAGGCGTCTCCCGTCCGAAACAGATACGGTTGGAGGTATGCAGATCTCCGCATATCTATGACCGTATCTGTTTCGGATTGTCCAGGTGTAATTGGACAGCCAGTGCCACCTTCTGAGTCTCCTGCTCACCCATGTCAAGAGTTAATACATATCCAATAAGGAAACACAGTATATGCCGTATACAAAACATCCAACAAAATGAACATATAAAAAAAGTTTATTGTAAGCTCCTGGACTTAATGCTTGTTTCACTTAGTGTTAGAACAAAAGCACAAGTTTGGGGCTAGAATTTCAGTTTCATTAGTCTTACCACAACTATAGCAGGTTGGGGATACATATAGGGTAACTTGCTTGCAACTTAAGAAAGCTACAACATATTCTAGAGATGCTAAATCAAGATAAGGATAAAGATAAGGGCTGACACAGCCACCAACTACTCTAGATAAGTATCCTAGATAGATAAGGACAAGACTTATAGCTGTCACTTAGAACCCTGAACTTGAAAATTGCATATTAGGATCTTCACTTATACAAGTATCAACACATACTTCAGAGCACTATAATTTTCTGTTCAGCCATGTAGTTCCCAAGTGAAACCAATGGAAACTCTTTAATCTGTATCTGAGAGAAGGCTTTATATTTCAGATAAATTTAGTTGCTTAAAATTAATGGTATTTAGCAAGACTGCTGTAGAAGTTTCAGAATACCTTAGATAAGGTTAATACCAATAATTGCCCGCCACTCCCTGATCAATAGTAGACTGGCATATTTTGACTCACTTATTACATGCTAATATGTAAATTAGGGAACAGACAACCATGGAAGATCAAGGACCCATATCTAGCTTTGATTTGCCAAATGTGTTTTATGCATGCTTCCCCTTGAAGTACCATGTGCAATCAGCACTAACATTAGATTTTTACTGGCTATAAAAAGCTCATGAATACTTGGCATCAAAATCATGTGTTGCCAACAATTTTAAAAATGGAAGAATAAAAAGAAGACGTACTGAGGGGTAAGGCCATTTGTAGTGCAGATCCCACCAGCTAAGGAGCTGCTGGCGAGCCTCCTTAGGGAGCTTCCCTTTCTTCTTCTTCTTTGACAGTTCTTGCTTGAGCGAGCTTAGATAGCCACTGTATTTCTTCAGGAGATGGTGCTTGAGCTCTTGGTCTACACCATGTACATCAACTTCAGGGAGCTCTGTCTCTCCTCCGCTACCTTCTTGATCCTCCTCAGAAGAGCCTTCAAGCATAACAGATGGAACTGTTAGCTACAACAAAAGAAGTAATCAAGCAGCATTCATAGCCAGGTTAGAAAACATTTGACTGGCAAAGCACAAGTACTGAACTTATTTACTAAAAATCTAAAATACATGTTCCATACAAGCAAAGCAATAAACAGTGCTTTTTCATGTGCCATAGTTAAACAAGTGAACTTAATTATGATTTGACGAATGTGAAGTGTGATAATCTAAGTTAAGTAGCACAGCAATCTGCTTCTATACAAAACAAATATCATCCAACTCCCACGTGACATCAGTCTTGGGAATTTGCATTGGGCTATTGTCCACCAATCAATCTAACATCTCCAGTATACCGGGAATTTGCATTGGGCTATTGTCCACCAATCAATCTAACATCTCCAGTATACCCATTGAAGTACAGATATCACGGACATGTGCATTGGCACTATTTTCGTTTGTGAACCTAGTGCATTCCTAAGACGAAAATAAAAAGTATGGATGTTTCTGCACATATTACTTTGTTTGCATGATATTTTGATCATTTTTATATTGTGGGTAAAAAATTATATTGCAACTGTATGTCCACACCATGTTCTTTTCCCAACAGTGAACACTGCATTTGTTTTTCTATATTAGCATCTTAATATTTAACTTATGCTTTTCAGAATAGGCATAAATGACCCCTGTACACTTTTCGTTTTGCCAATTATCTATATCCATCTTGATGGCGACATATTTGGAAGCAATATAGAAATAAGCAAAGGAACACAGGTTTAAGACTTGAATAAAATGTTAGCCTATGTAAGAGCACCCTAACATATATGGGAAAATGAAGTATGTTCTCCAATATTAAGCTACAATTCTTTGCTTTAAGAAAACAACTCCGCTCGTGTTGTTTCAACATATCTGGTGCCTAGCCCAGGAGCACAGGTATAGGAGGGCTGTGATAAGCTTGGAAAGCTAGTGCAAAACCCTGCCGCGCATACTAAAATAAATAACTTAGCTATCTTTAGATAAGGTCAAGTAGAAAATAACAACACTACTACACAAACTTTACTGGAGGCGGGCGTTTTCGGTTTTCCGCTGTGGGCAAAGCCGTCCGCCGCGGCCTAGAGGCCACGGTAAATCGTGGCTTAACCGCGGCGGGCAGTGTAACGTGCCCGCCGTGGTAAATATACTTTTACCACGGCGGGCACGTTAGAATGCCCGCTGCGGTTAATCATTTTTTAAAAAACAAAAAAACCAGGAGCCCGTTCTCCAACCCAATCGCGAGCCCACCGGCGACGGATCCGGGCTTCCCACGGCCGCCACTACCTCGCCAGTCGCTCGCAGGGGACCACGCCGACGCCTCCTCGCGGATCCCCGTGCCTCCTCGCGGATCCCGCCGCGCCGTGGTGGAGGGAGGCCGCCGCGCCGACGCGTCCTCGCCCGCCGTGGTGGAGGTCCTAGCATCGTGGCCATGGTGGATCCCGGCGTCGTGGCCGTGGTGGAGATCCACCGCCGGATCCGGTCGCTCCACCGCCAGATCCACGGAGGAGGAGGGTGCAGCCGCCAGATCCGTGGGGGAGGAGGTCGCCGCCGCCGGATCCGTGGAGGAAGAGGTCGCCGTCACCGGATCTGGAGAGAGGAAGAGGGAGGAGTGAGGGAGATGGAGAGAGGAAGAGGGAGATGGAGAGGAAGAGGGAGATGAACTCACTGGATTTGAAACCCTAGCCCCGCGTCATTGTCGTTCATGGAGGATCCGTGGGGGAGGAGGAGGGCGCATCCGTCGCCGTCGTCCCGCGCGCGCCGTTACCCCGCGCGCCCTCGATCCGCCGTCTGGAGGCCTTGCGCGCCCTTGGAGGAGGCCACTGACGGGGAAGGGAGGGACCGCCATCGCCGACGGGGAAGGGAGGGGTCCACCGTGGATCCGGGCTGGCACCACCTCCTTGCACAGCCGTGGAACCACGCCATGACCGCCTCCTTGCGTTTCCCCCATCGTGGATCTGCGCCGTGGGGCCTCCCCCGCCGACGAGGGAGGGAGAGAGGAAGAGAGGGAGGGAGCGCCTAAGCTCCGAGGGTCGCCGCCGTGTGCGAGCTCGGAGGGCCGCCGCTGCGCGAGCACCCGGGAGCCGCCGTCGCGGGGTGGCGCATGGCGAAGGGAAGAGAGGAGGAGGCGCACGGTCGCGTGAGTCGGGGATGAGAGAGGGAGGCGGCTGGGGATGTGGACTGAGGCTAGGGTTCACAAGTGAAGTGCCACTTATATACGAGCCCAGTAGAAAAGTTGAGATGGGCTTCTTCTGGGCTGCGAGTTTGGGCCTTATTTTTTAAAGCGGGCTTTATAATATGCCCGCCACGGCAAATCGATTTACCGTGGCGGGCATCTTAAGACGTCCACCACGGTTAATAGGGTATTTTTCGTGGCGGGCATCTTAAGACGCCCGCCACGGTAAATAAATTTATTGTGGCGGGCAAAAGAGCCTGTCACGGTAAATAAAAAATGCCCGCCTCGGTAAATCGCGGGATTAACCGTGGCGGGCTAAAATGGACGCCCGCCTCGGAGGCCATCGGGGGATGTCGCGGTTAATCGATTGTGTAGTAGTGCAATACACATTCCGAGACCAAGATCCAGGGTGGCAACCTTCTTTTAGTTTCATTTCATACACCACAGTGGTCGGATCTTGTGCTACTCAGTCCTGTGCATACCTATCACGAGTCCATGACTCCATGACCCTGGGTCAACCAGGGTTTGTCATTTGTGAGCATGCTACTATGCAGGACTATCTAGCCTGGAATGTTGAGAAAATATCTGATATGTTTGGAAAAAAAAGAGTAACAGGACCTTCTTTAAACCAACATTCATATATATATTTTTGCATAAAGGAAATAAATATTTTATGTTTGTGCATTCTGACAGAAGCAAAAGTGAAAATATTTTTTATTTTGAAAATGACTTTTGAGCATGTGACCCGATATGAGACTCTGTTCGTCATGCTGTTAATTGGGACAAATTGAAGCAGTATGAGGTCACGACAGATACATATATAGTAATAGTAAATGACCATAATGATTTAATGATCAATCAAAACATATGCCAAACGTGTGTGGTTGTCTTCGAAATGAAGAAAGAACCAGTTGCTCACTAAAACATCATTAGACAATATGGATGTAGAAACCCAAGAAGAGAGAGAGAGATTCTGACAAGGGAGCAGCACCTACAAGTAAATAGAAAATATCTCCTATTGATCTCTTTTTAGATTAACTATGCCTAATTTGATCTTCTGATGGATTGTAGGTGATTCTGAGCTGGTGCGCCACCTTTCCCGATTGCTGGGCTGCTATAGTGGACAAATGGTTGGACGCGGACTGGCAGAAGGCGCACCAAGAGAAAAGCGAGCACCGTATGCTGATGCCAGGTGTACTTTCTTTGCTCATGCTTAGTGTCAAACCTAGTGATGGCCTTTTGTGCCGGATTTGTTGATGTGTCGCCATTCGTGCCGGATTTGTTGATGTGTTGGCCTTCGTGCCGGAAATGTGGTTGTCGGCCTTCGTGCCGACGTTTTTCTTGTAGGTTTTGGAAACCTCCCCGTGCAGGGGAGGTGCTGCCGAAATTTTCAACTTTTCTTTACACTCCTTACATTTTTATCTTGTCACTCACGTGCAATCTTCTCTCTTTTTTGCAGCATCAATCGGGGGCGGCGTCGAATCATGTCGAAGGGTCGCCGGCATCGCACGTCGGGCCATCCCCACCTGGACCGTCGCCGAGATCGCACGCTGGGGCGTCCCACCCCTCACAGTCGCCGTGAGCCGCATTCAGAGTCGTTTTTATGTATTGAACTTGTAAACTTGGAATAGTGTGTACTTTTGAACGTGTGGTTTGTAATATATTGTGGATTTCGGATAAATTTGGTCGTTTGTGATATATAAATGTGGTTTGTGACATATTGGTGTTGATTTGTGGTTTGTGATATATATATATATGCTTTGTTGTTTACATGGAAAAGAAAAAAACAAAAAAGAAAGAATTTTAGAGGTGGCTTCCGCGAGTGCCTGTGCTGTGGCACTCGGGAAAGAGGATTAAAAAAAAACAAATTTCTTTGCCGAGTGTCTGAGCTGCGGCACTCGGCAAAGAGTATTTAAAAAAATTCAAAAATCTTTCCCGAGTGTTGCACTCGGGGAAGAAAATCAAAAAAAAAACGGCGTCGGCCAACGGCGTCAAGTCTTCCCCGAGTGCCAGCACGGCACTCGGCAAAGCCTTCCCCGAGTGCACGATTTTCGACACTCGGGGAAGGCGCCTTTCCCGTGGGAGGATTAGCCGGAGGCTCTTCCCCGAGTGTTGCACTCGGGGAAGGCTTCCCCGAGTGCAACTGGACCTTCCCCAAGTGCAACCAGCACTCGGGGAAGCCAGCAGTTCCTGTAGTGTTTACTCTGTGGTAAATAAAATAGTTACCTGTAATCACGCCAAATGTGATTGAAATGAGATGCTGGGGTATTATGGATTATGGCCACAATAACAGCATTGAAAATCTGCATTTGTTACTTCAAAAAAAAATCTGCATTTGGACATTCTATTACATTGACATCAATTATGCATGCTGAAAACTGGAAATGTAAGTAATATTATTAACTAAAAAGAAATAAATAACCCTACAGATGAAGATTGGTACTCCACACAACATTCAGTATGAATTTATTCACAATTCTATGGGAGATGAGGTATAGAAATTCCAAGAGAACATTATTAACTACCATGTTTACAAAAGGAAAAAAAATTCAAAACATGACACATAATGTGAGTAACTATATCAGACAAGAAATATGGAAGCACAATGATAATTCGTTGTTCGGACCACAAAACATGTCTTGAACTGAAAGAAGAAATCCAGTACCTTACCAAAATCTGGTGACATGATCGGTGAGAAAATGTATATGAGAATAAATCTTACAGTATTTCTTTTTTCCCAGCACATAACGTAGCTACTAAGTTATTTGGCTTTCCACATCCTAATAATGAGGCAGAGGTAAATGAGGAAGAACTGGCATTTGTTTTAGGGAAAATCACCAGAGAGCACTATCATATGAAGCCAGCATTATCTCCTGACCTGTATTATCTGTTTATAAAGAACCAGGTTCTGAACTCCATGCCTCTGATCCTGGCCATAGCAGTGCCAATGCCTTCTCTGAAAGCCAAGCATTTGGACTCCAATCCTTCCCTTTCCGGAGAAGCCCCTAATCTCTACACCTAAAAAATACTTAACGTCATCGTCGGATGCCCGCTAATCGCTTCGTCACTCCATCACGCGCACGTACAGACCCACGACAGATCCGGGCTCCGAACAGGAAATCAAATTGGAAAAAGAAAACCGCGCTCCAAACGAAATCCGATACGTGCGCCAGAACACGTACAAAACCGTCATTGACAGTACCTATCACGTACTAGGCCTATCTGCTGCTAGGCCCATCACACATGTAGTTGGGCTAAAAGATGACGTTCACTAATTAATTCCAGTATGTTTTCGCAAAAAAAAATTAATTCTATGTGATAACTTTAGAGGTGAAACTATCTGAATCCGAATTTTGAAGACAGAGAACACTTTTTTTTTAAAAAAAAACTCAACCTGCAGGGTAAGACAGCTCCCAGGCATTGTGTTTAAGAAGAAGACCTTCTCACGCAGATCGAGAAAACATCCGAACCTCTGTCCCACCTATACACAGCGACACCGTAGCTCCCATGAGACTAGGGCTGTACATACGAATACGAATAATCTGAATTAGGTTGTGTGCAGATGCGGGATAGGATATGGAGCTGCCAAAATTAAGTGGATATGGATTATCCGAAGTTTTGAATAGAATATCCAAACCTTTCTCCTCCTAAACTAAAACCTAGAGGAATTCAGAATTTAAAAACACTTTGGCGTTAGAAGTGTTTGACTCCATCACCCCACTAGCGATTTTTGTATAAAAACCATATTAAGTGTTCATTGTGTCGTTGGCCACTTGGGCGTAAATTTCGTGGTCTAGTACAACGCACAGGCATATCTATATCTATACAACTAAAAAAATAGTGCTATCGCCGTTGTCGCCACACCCCGCTCGACCCACTCACGCCGATGACATCACCCCGCTCGCTCGATCCAGATTTATTAAATTCAAAAAAACGATCAAATCCGTCGCAATAAGCGTGGGCAAAAATTTATGCTGTCCTACAACACACGTGCATGATTCTAGTTAATAATAAATAATACCTAACAAACAGAAGCACATCATCAAGCGGTCAAGCCCTCGGTAAGCAGCAGCTAAAATGTAATCGAAAACAATCACGGGCCATCTTGTCAAGTCCTTCGTCGAGACGCAGCGGGCCGCTAGGAGGATTCGGCCCAACAACAGCCTGCTCTCCTCTCGCTGTGCGGCGTGATTTTTTTAATGCCTTAATACTTCAAGTACAAGTTGTAGAACCTAAACACAATTCATACCACACACCATACGCACACATAGGATGTGTTTGGTTTCCTGGATTATTTTTAGCCTAACTAGAATTCTAGCCTGGGCAGCCTTAGCCTGCTCCCAACAAGCCAATCACTAGTTTTGTTTGGTTGTTTGCATTGTCAAAGTCTGGCAAGTAAAGGATGTGTTTGGCTGCCTGTTTTTTTTTTTTTTTTGCATATAGTCACCTCTTGTTTGAAGGGGTAAGTTTACCCTTTGAGAGATTTTGTCAAACAGCTGGTATGCATCTTCAACGAGCGTCTTCAGAGCAATGCTTCGTAGAGGAGCTGAGCAAAAGTGACTAGAATGAGAACTGCGTCGCACCAAATTTATTTAGATAGAGAAAAGAATGCTCAAATTCGGCTTGCCAATCGAAACGACCAGGGCAAATCATCCGAATTGTGCAAGATCCTGGGAAGGAAAGGAAACACCGGAAGTCAAGAAATCCACACCGAAACAAGCATCTGGGAAGAAGGCTAGATCGAACGAAACCCACCGCGCGGCAGGAAACGAACTGACACTCTCTCTGCCGTGAGTGTTCGAGGGGCGGGAGGTGCTTCGGGTGACGGGACCAGGTGACGGCGCGGGTGCTCCTCGGCGGTGAGCTCAAGTTCGTCATCCAGTAGCCGTCATCGCAGAGGTCAAGTTCGTCGCTACACCGTGCGGGGCGGGGGCCACAGCTGCCGGAACGACGAGGAGACTCACAGAGCCATACGAGCGGTTCCCCGTCGACCACGTCACTTGGGCACCGTGAATGCTGCTTGGGGCCGGACGCCGCCGTGGGGACTTCAAAGCGCTTGGCCGACCACGACCGCCTCCGCGTGGGAAAGTCGGACTCAGCCACCGCCGCTGTTGTCGCCGGCAGGCAGCACGCGAGCGCCGTCATCGCTGTGCTGCTGCAGCAGATGTGCGAGGGCGTCGTCCCGCGAGCGCCACTGCAGCAGCCACTGCGCCGAGGAGATGAAGAAGTCCAAGCAGGCCCTCTCGTCCCGTCCGCTGCCATGGCGGCCGCCGCCACCGCAACCTCGCCCTCGGCCTCCCTCCATCGCGACGCGCGCAGGCCCTCCTGCGTGGCCGCCGCCGCCGCTGCGACGACGGCCGCTGAGTCGGGTCTCGCGTCCGTCCCACCGAGCGTGCCGGGCTCGAACGCTGATGGTGGGCGTTACACCGAGCGTGCCCAACCAACCGAGCCATGCCATGCCATAGCTCGTTCGCGCCCCAAGCAAGTCCGAACAGGAGAGTGGAATCCGACTCCGAGTCGCGTGGCAGCTCCTGCCTCTCCTGCGCTGCGCTACACCTGCATATATATCAGCGAAGGAAATGAACCCGAATTTAAACTACCCGAATTTACTGTACCACTATAGCGAAAATTGTAATGAGACTGTATTTTCATTTAATTCCGTAAAAAAAATATGATGATTTTTCTGATATATTAATCATATCAAATCATATTTTTTTTGGAATTAAATGGTAGTTTTATTATAAAATAAAGAGCCAGTTTTGGAGAAGCTACTATGAAACTTCTGCACTTAAGTGGCTAAATTATTTTAAAGAGCCACTATAGCGAAATACTGTGCCACTTTTGCTGAGTGCTGCTACTCGCACATGGTGGTAGTTTTATTATAAAATAAAGAGCCAGTTTTGGAGAAGCTACTATGAAACTTCTGCACTTAAGTGGCTAAATTATTTTAAAGAGCCGGTTTAGATAGCCAAATTAATTTACAGATGCTTTTGACATGCTCTAATCAGGAAGCCCACTAGCCCTCTTCTTGGACACGACAAGGAATCCATATTGGCCCCGTTTGGCTTACCCAGAAGCCGACTTATTCGACTTCTTTTTTCAGCCGAATAGTGTTTTTCTCTCATAACAATTCAGTCAGAATAATATTTTTCAGCCAAGTTTCAGCAAGTCGAACGGGGCCATTTTATTGAAGGGCATGGCTAAGAACATCCAGATAGACGCGCGCGTCTGGACGTCAGTGCAACCCGCTCTTGTCCGTCTCGCCTCGCCCCGCACACGCATCCTGCCCCTGTCGCCGCGTCCGCGGCTCCTTCCTAGTGACCTCACTCCTTTTCTCTCTGCGCGGGCGGGACCCTAGAGCCTGGATGAGGACGAGCAACCCCCTCGTCCGTAGGACCCAGGCACGCCTCGCGCCCTGACCGCCGGCACCCGGCTCGCCACGCCTGTTCCCCTGGCGCCCGGGCCGTGCCCCGTGACTCTCTAACACACAACTCTGAAACTCGAAACACTTGAATATAACATACATCTTAAGGCGATGAAATATTTGGAACATACGCTTGAAACATGTGTGTGATACATTTGCAACATCCAGATAAAGCACTTGCAACATGCAACACGAAAACACTTACTGCAACATAAGACAAACAACTGAAACCATTGGAACATACTCTTGCAACATATATGAAACATATGCAACAACCAGATAAAAAACACTTGCAAATATACGTCCGAAAATAGCTGAAACATTTTGAATAAACGCTTATAAAATGCCTCTGAAATATTTGCAACATATGCAACATCCAAATCTATTTTTGCAATATACGTCTGAAGAAGATGAAATATTGTAACATACACTTGAAATATGTGTGTGATACATATGCAACATCCAGATAAAATACTTGCAACTTGCAACATGAAAACACTTACTACAACATAAGACTGAAACAACTGAAACCATTGGAATATACTCTTGCAACATGTGTGAAACGTATGGAACGCCAAATCAAAAACACTTGCAAATATACGTCCAAAAACAGATAAAACATATTAAACAAACGCTTGCAACATGCCTCTGAAACAACATATTGATATATTTTTACAACATCTTGATCCATTTTTACAACATCCACATGAAACACTTACAACATACCTCTAAAACATGTAAAACACTTAAAATATACGCTTGCAACATATTAGGCGTGATGCTCTAGGGAGTGGCAACCATCATGTCAGGCACGCTGAGGAACTCGATAACTGCCTCAATGGGTAGATCGGGGCTGGGAGAGGCAGTGGAGCGAAGAGCACCACAGACTTGGCCCCCCGCGAGCTTCTTTTGCTATTGGGGCACGAGGAACCTCGAGGCCAGCACGAAGTACGCATGGCCACGACACCCTTGCCATCTCCAGTCGTAGGAGGAGATGATGAGGATGATGACGGCGCCGACGACAGCAATGAGGACGGGGGCGAGCGGGAGGCGTGACTCCAGCAGCAGAGCCTAGCGTCGCTGAGGTGAAAGCTCTAGTTTGGTTTTGGTGAATTGATAAAACCCTAAGTGCTAACCTAGTTTATCAAAGTGATCATGAGATAGATAGCACATTTCAAGTGGTGAAGCAAATGAAGATCATGACATGATGATGGTGATGATCAAGTGCTTGGACTTGAAAAGAAGAAAGAGAAAAACAAAAGGCTCAAGGCAAAGGTATAAGTGGTAGGAGTCATTTCATTTCGGTGATCAAGACAATTAGCGAGTGTGATTACATTTAGGTTCGATCCGTACTATTAAGAGATGTGAAACTTGTATCGAAATACGGTTATCAAAGTGCCACTAGATACTCTAACTCATTGCATATGCATTTAGGATCTAGTGGAGTGCTGACACCCTTGAAAATGTTTGTGAAAATATGCTAACACACATGCACAAAGGTGATACACATTGTGTTTTAGCACTTAGGAGTAAGGGTTCTAAACTTCACCGGCGGAGTGTTCGCCCGTAGAGTGCGGACAGTTCGATTGTGCCACCAGCGCCCTATAGAAAAGATAGGGTTTCACAGAGTACACCGGACGCTAGTCACGTGGTGATCGGACTCTGGGGAGCAGCGATTCGGTCAATTATAAAAGAAGGTGGTACTCTCGGCCTATGACCGGACTCAGGCGACCGGACTCTGGCTAAACACTGTTCAGCCTCCGGTCCTGCTGGTGTGGTGGCGCACAGAGAAGATGGTGAGTGATCGGACGCTGGGCAAGTCCGGTCGGTCGTGACCGGACGCGTCCGGTCGCAACTGGAACCTTACTGGAAGTGACCGGATGTTAGGCAACAGTGCGTCCGATCCTACACTGTAGTGCGTCCGGTCACAACTTAAGTGTACTAATGACCATTGAGATCGGATGATCAGCATTTAAAGCAGGGGACACATGGCAAAAATCTGAGGACCGGACGTTGGGGTCCTACGTCCGGTCAAACCGATCGGTGCGTCCGGTCGCCCTGACTTTTTAGGGAACAGAGAGCCAACGACTCTATTCGTGGAGGCTCTCTATTTAAGCCATATTGCCGGCTCTAGCTTATGCTCTTGGTCATTTGCATTGACATATCAATCTTGTAAGCTTAGCCAAAGTCCTTTCACTCATCTCCATCATTGATTCATTATCTTTGTGAGATTGGGAGTGAATCCAAGTGCATTGCTTGAGTGTTTGCATCTAGAGGCACTTGGTGTTCGTGTTTCGCTGCGGGATTCGCTTGTTACTCTTGGTGGTTGCCGCCACCTAGATGGCTTGGAGCAGCAAGGATCATCGAGCGGAGGTTGATGATTGTCTCTGGCTCCGATTGTGGTGATTGTGAGGGGTTCTTGATCTTTTCCCGATGGAGAGCCAAAAGGTACTCTAGTAAATTGCTCGTGGCTTATGTGATTCTCATCTTGTGTTGATTGTGCGGCACCCTATTGAGGGTTTAGCGTGTGATGCTAATTAGCGCGTGAACCTCCAAGTGAGTGAATCGCCACAACGAGGACTAGCTTGCCGGCAAGCAAGTGAACCTCGATAAAAAATCATTGTATCATCATTTGATTCTAAGGTGATTGGTCTTCATTGGTATTCATTCTTGTGATTGATTGGTTCATTTCTCAACTTGATGGTATAACCATCTTGCTCACTCTCTCTTTATATTACCGTAAACTAGTTGTCAAGCTCTTTAGTGTAGCTAGTCGTGGGAGCTTGTTAGTTTGGTTAGTGTGGCTCTTTAGTTAGCCTTTGAGAGCACACTAACTTAGTGTGGTGACATAGCCATTGTGTGGCTAGAGACTATATAAACTAGAATTGTGGTAGGTGGCTTCTTTTTTTAGTAGGCTAGCGCAACACTCGCTTCGCCTCATATTTGTCTAACCAATTTGCTAAGTGTTGTTGTAGAAATTTTTAATAGACTATTCACCCCCCTCTAGCCATTAGGACCTTTCAGGAGGTGGGCGAGGGCCATGGGGCGAAGGAAGCAGAGCGGAGCCTACAGCGTGTGAGACGAAGTGGGAGATATTTTTTATTTGGAAAGACGACGCTCGGACGGACGGACGTCCTCACCGTATCATTATCGTTTGTTGAAATCTTCATTGTTATTCTTCCACTCTACCCTATCCTTCTTCATCACCGGCGTTTCTCAATGGCAATTGATGCTCTCTCTGAAAGCCAAGCATTTGGACTCCAATCTTCCTTCCCTTTCCAGAAAAGCCCCTAATAACAAACACAAGTTTACTTTGTGATTGATAAATAAGCAAGCAGCAGCAAAGAATGTAATGCTAATAGTTACGGGCCATCTTGTCAGGGCCTTCGTTGAGATGCGGCGGGCCGGTAGGAGGATTTGGCCCAACATCAGCCTGATCTCCTTTGAAACAACTCGAGCGGAATCCAACTCCGAGTCGCGCGTCGCAGTTCCCGCTAATCCTGCGCCAGCGCTACGCCTTCATATATCAGGAAAGGAAACGAACGCCGGCGAGGCGGCGACCAAGCAATTCGATCACAACTCGTCGGAAAAAAGGAAGGGAAGACTGGTTGGAAGAACAAGCGGATCCGACCGGGAAACAAAGAAACCAGCAGGCTCCCGGCGCCGCATCAGCGAGAGTTAGCTAGCAATGGAGGCGTGGCGGTTTGGCTTTGACCCGTCGTTGTTCCCGCCGGTGTACAAGTTCGATCCCACCGACACCGACATCGTGGTGCACTACCTCCTCCCGCGCGCCCTGGGCCTCTGCAACCCATACGAGCACGCCGTCATTGACGCGCGA